TAATAGTTCTATAGTCACTAGTGAAGAGCAGCTTCCCAAATACCTTAAGAGTCTGTCAATGTAACACACAAAAAGCAAGCTCCCCCCTCCCCTCCTCCTACATCCATGAAGTTTCTGAGGTTTCAAATAAGTGGTATTTCCGATGGGGACATCATCTCTCCCCACAGCAGCTACATCCCCAACATAATGTTAGGTCCCAGTTTTGCAACTAGGTTAATTGCAGGGCCGCATTCATATTAATTTTGGTGGGACAAGGTCCAGCACACTGCTGGAGTAATTAGGTCTCTGAATCTGTGCAGACAATGTATGGGCAGGGGCTGAACTTAAAGGCAGGCTGTGTTGTAACATCCACAAGGGATTTTGTGTGTGGTTTTGTTCTTTCTGGGTTTTCTAACCCTGCTTGCTACATCCTGGTTGGTTATTATCATCGCTCCTTCTTCTGTACCTATTTAACCATCAACCCTGCCATTACTAGCCTGGACAGCCAGCTACATAACATATTATTTTACATTCCTAGAGGTATTTATAAGCATGTATTACATAGCTGTAATAAACAGTGGTGCACTTGGTTAACACCAAACACTTAAATGACTCCTTCAGCACCCTGGACTTCCAGAATTTCCAGAGCTGTCTTCCAACCCAGTTTTTTGGTAATCACAGCAAACCACAATGCAGTGTCATTTTGACAGTTATCTTCATTTCCCAAAATTAAATGGGATCAAAATCCAATACTTTGTTGTAAAGGGAAAAAAAACTCAACATCTTAACAAAACTCCAGTTCCTAACAGCAGATTATAACCAGTGATATTTCAATTACGTTTTCATGGCAAAATAAAAATAATTTATGCTTCTATACATATTTTATAGCATCTTTTTCAACACAGCAGGGGAAGATGAAACCATGTACATAAAGAACTGGTCTCTCACACAAAGCAAACAAAAAACAATGCTGATTATTAAACCAAACTTCTCTCATAAAACTAGACCACTGGCAGTACTCCCACTCCAAACAGTGGCAGATACTAAATCTGCCAGTATCAAGAAACTGACACCATTACTCATTCCTTTAACATTTTTTGCATCTGTATCAGATTTTAAACTCATAATGAAACAGCCACATGATATCCAGTACTAATAAAGCTGCTGCAAAAATGAGTTCCCCCTGAGTTGACTTCAAAGACCAACTTGAAATACAACTATATTACTATTTTCAAAACTTATACATACTTCCAAATCTTTTTATAAAGCATGTGTATGCTTTGGTTAGCATTAAATAATTCCAATAATATTTTTTTTATAAGTCATGATACCAGCCCTCTAATACATTTTAAAAAATACCCTCCCATACTCTCACAGCTGTAGATGATGCTATCAACTTTCTGTTTTCTGGAATGCCAGCAGACTTTGGATTCCAAGAGACTTTAACACACATTGGTATAGCAAATTATTTGTTGGTATAGCTTATCTTTTCCCTTAACACCTATCTGTGCATTTGAGACACTTATTTTTCTGTCAGTCTCCACCACCAATGACTTCTCTGATTTATCAGTCTGCAGGATCGGTGCCTAACAGTCCAAATGACTAGGTCCAGCTCTGTACCAGTTGAATCCTCCTCCACAAATGAGTTTAAAAACTCTCTCTAGAGATGAATGCCTTTGTCAGTTTAAAAAGAGAGGGGAAGCTGCTTTCCTGTGAGAACACTATTATATGTTAAGGTGGGTGTTTTTAGGAAAAATTATCTAGTTATGAAACGTCAGATTTCTGCAGGATCTTGGATGCAGGCCTTCTCAGAGCCAGCAGCCCAACACATAAGAGTTCTGAGGAGCTGTATACACCATTTTGCACAATTTCAACGAATTTTTTTCCTCTTTCATTTTTCATTGTAAGATATATTTGACAAATTCACTATTTTCAAGTTCTGCAGTTCAGACACAAATATTTTCAGATCTTCATTACTATAGTTAAAAAAATGCTTACCTGGCATTCCTCTTTGCTTGACTTCAGATGCTGAGTATAACTCCAGATGATCTGCATGTCTTCTAATGAAGAATCTTAATCTAGAACCAAACAGAAATTTAACATTAAAAAAAAAGTTAATTTTCTTTACCTGATCATTTACCTACAAACACATGCACGAAGAACATATTTACAGTACTTGTTCATAGTGACATGTCGCTATATGCAGTTCTGTATCAAGATAGTATTAGAAGCTTCACATAACAAAAACAAGCTGTGTATCCCATCACTTGGTGAAAAACAGCACATGAAACAGCATTCTTTCCTGTACAAACCAATTATATAAAAGTATCACTGTTTTAATTGGGTTTTCTCTGGTGCACCTGCAACAAGTTTTGCCATGAAATGAAGTTCATTTCTTCATAGCATTGACAACTCCATGGAAATCAAAGAAGTGGATTCTATTAACCGGCTACTTTCAGGCTAATTAGCAAAGTAAGCCTTTGATTGTACAATCTAAATATGCAATGGTAAATACTTAAGAAAAATCCCTACTGAGTCATATGTTAAACTGCCTGAATTCTGAGGTTATTTCAGCTTTAAACAATACATTTTTGCTTATATGTCATGAGGTATTATTCAACCCAGAATTTATTCCAAAAAGCATTTTATACTTATATTATTATTACAACGCATTACTGCGCAACTTTTTAATAATATAACTATTTTCAGATGAAACCTGTATCCTTAAAAGGCCTCATAAAAATGCAAACCATGGACTTCCTGTCTTTTTTACTAGAGAAGGGAAGTGCTAATGCCTGGTAATGCCAGGATCAATCCAGCATTTTCCTCTTAGACACTTTATGAATCAGTGAGGATCACACATTAAGTGTGAACTGAATTGGAGGGAAGCTTATGTTTTTTAGGCTTGCAAAATGAAATTATTTCCCTAATTCAGTTCTACAAAAGAATAAATTGTGTTCAAATGTGCCTCTTCCATATAAAGGCATCCAAAACAGCTGAAATCGATGTAGACATGCTGACAGTGATGTAAACCTCAACCTGAAAAAGATCAGACAAGATGCATCAACTAGGACGTATTTGTCACATCATATCACCTTGTGTTAGCCTTTTTTTTGTTTTACTGTTTCCTAGTTCATGGGTGGCACTGGAAGAGAGTACCGCACTAGACGGACCCATTCAAGGCTAGATCCATATATGTTAATAATTTTCCTCAGTGTCACCTGTGATTTGGGACTCTGGTCTTGATTTTGCAGTGGCTGTGTGCACACAGAAGGTCCAAAAACCCCCTTGTTTTCTGACCATACTAACAAATGCAAAAAGAAAGAAAAAGAAACTGTACTCTGTTTACTCAGACGCATCACTGAAGCAGGCTTGGTGCAACACTAGGATCACTTCTAAGGCTACGATTATCAGATTCCTGTGCGGGAGACCTGCGAGCACTGTACATAAGCGCAAAATGTTTAGCATCTTACAAGCGCTCTACAGCAGGTTCAGCTCACGCTCAGCTGCCAATCGCGCAGGCAAACGTAACATGCAGAAAGCACCACCAAAAGCACCAGCGTCAAAGCACGCTTTCTGCATTCAGTGTGAAGCGGCAGCGCTTTCACAAATCTACGCCCCTAGAAAAGCCCACGGGGAACACGTTAAGGCCCTGGGGAGCAGCAGCTGCGAGCACCAGCCGGCCCCGGCCCGGCTGCACACACAGCTCACCCCTTCACCTGGTGACGGCGGCCAGCGGCACCGTACCCTCGCCTCAGCCCGGCCCAGCGGAGCAGAAGGGGCCCGCGCAGCCCCGCACTGACCGTTACCGCTCCACACGACGATCACGCGCTCCACCGACCACCCCCACCTCTCGGGGTACGCTGCTCCGGAGCCGTTGCCGTGCGCGGCAAATCCCGCCCTACCTCCAGCTCGTCAGGGCCCCATTGGCTGCACAGAGCAACGCTCCTTCCGCCCGCTGCTCCCCGGTGGGCTCAGGTCCCAGCCGATCAGCACAAAAGCCAGGCTCCTGTCGGCCGGGCCGCGGCTGTGCCCCTCAGCTGGGCGGGCAGGGCACGGCCAATTAAACAAAAGAGACACGCTGGTAAAACCGGCGAGGAGGGGGGCAGTAGATCCGAGTGCCAGAAATGTGGCCGGGTTGTGCCAGAGGCGCTAGCGATAGACAATCTGGAACTCACCGCTCACAGGCGGCAACTACAGGACACCCTGCTCCCGGCGGCGCTAACGGCCAGCCGTACCTTAGAGGAACGGAACGAACGCCACTTGCCCACAGCTCCTGCATTTAAGTCTTTAATCTGACAAAACCTACCTTGCAGGGAGGGACTAAAAAGATCCCAGTGTCTTTCCCACTGTGATGTCCGTCCCATTTAAGAAAGTGTAAGTTTTGGACAAGGCCAGCATCAACAAAACACCGTGTTTCCGAGTACAAGAGCAAGTGTTCTAGCACAGTGAAGTCTGAAAACCAAATACGCTGAATACCTGAATATGTAAGACTTGCCTTTTTCCGTCAGTTTCTAAGGAAATCGTACTCTGCCTGCCTCTACGTCCCCCACAGTAACTTCCGAGTAACGTCTGGCTGAGGAAAACCTGCTAACCTGTCAATGATCTTAGAAGTTCTATGAAATCAGAAGTGAACGAGAGAGTGCAAACAATGCTACAAACACACAGCTTAGGCTACCTACGTATATGCCTCCTTGCTTAGGATCTGCTGGTCCACAAAAGAGATAAAGCCCAGGATCCAAAGTGGGGACAACTCCATTGACTTTGGTATACTCCTGAAACTTTAAAATTATACCCCCGACTGTAGGAAGGAAACATTCTTCCCCCTCCCCCCCCCCCCGTATTGATTTGAAGCCACTATAGGAAATAACCTTTCAACAGCTGAGAACACTTGAAATTACAGCTGACACATTCATTTATTTGTATGATGTGTCTACTATCACCTGTTAAGTAGATACGATTCCTGACAAGACAGTTTCAAGGCAAATCCAAATTAAAAAACTTAGCCTATTTACTTATGCTGTATGATGTGAGACATTCCATTTAAATCAACTTTCTCTCCCTGCGCCCCCCTCCCCACCCCCCCCCAACCCTAAAATGATGAAAATGCCAAACAGGCTTGTGCTCCATCTTCTCATTTTCTTACCTCCCTTTGAAAAGCAACTCTTGACCTTTTTAGCTAAGACTCAGCATTCCACTAGTTGGCTGGGGTGAAGTTATGAACTTAGAAATCTGAATGATAAATTCGTCAAGCTACAGCCTAAAACCCATTGGCACAATTACAGTTTATACATTTGTTAAGCAATTCTTGCATTTAATTCACTTTATCAGTTAACAAAAATATGCAGAGATAAAATCCTGTCCATAGCTTTAGCTCAACTTATCTCACCACCTTTGTTCAGGATCAATGCCTGCTTTTATGATTAACTGCAAAGCCAGAAATGGCAGAGCATGAAGAAAGCTTGTTCAAAGACTTTGTGATCACTGCTCAATCTCACATGAGTACTGGCAACAGTGATCTTAAAACTTGGAAATCTGACTGTAAGCGCTGGATTTTTTTTTTCTTTACTAAACTCAGCAAATAAAACCCTGTGCTTTGTTTTGCTCAGTTAAAACAGCCATGGCTGACCCCAAAATTCCATGTGAACCCCACTGGTGTTTGTCAGTCCTGGGTTCTAATGGCCAACTTCCAGCCATGGTTTATGAGTCATCAGAAGGTAACACAATGAAAGACCTTAGATGCAGCAACCCATCTGCTTTATAGGCTTCTAAGTCTTGCAAGGTGTAGCTGATGACTCCCTGATTATTCTTTTATTTTTGCTTTTTTAGTGACTTTAATTTAAAGTAACACTGCAGCAGCCAAAGCAATACACTGAGCATAGGACCAAGGTAAGACCTGAAGCAAGGGCCCTCTTTCACAAAGTGACTGTACTTCAAAAGTCACTTACTGCTGAAATTGTTTGTAAATAAAATTCACAGGATCTGAACCGAGAGATCAGCAAAAGCACTTGTGCCACCACCTTACTTCTCCATGGGCTGCTTTTCTTGTGACTGTATCTCATTTTGTCTGCTTCCAAAACAGACTGCACACAGCACTACCCCAGTTCTTCCTGCTCCCTTACTTTTCTACACTTCCACAGTTTAACTCTGCAGGCAATTCAGACCACTACAGAGGTTAGAAGTGCAGCAAGCACAAAGATGTCCTGGCAGGGGTAGCAAACTCCTTCTGGATGTTCCCCACACCTGGATAGCACAACGCAGGCCAGCAAACACTAGCCCATGTGGGGCCTGCAACCAAATTACAGAACTGCAGAACACACCCTTCCACCCATCAGGATGAAGTACTGCCAGTGCCATTCCTCAGCATTAAATCACTGCTTTGCCCCGCACTGGGGGACACGGTTCCCTTGTCCTCGGCCACCATGGCAGATTTCTCGGCACATGCACTGCAGGGAGGAGTGTTATTAACTGCAGATGTTATTATTGTCCTGAGCTGTCATGAAGCCTCTCTCTGCACTGCCAAATAGCTGGCACATTTCACTTCGGAGGCAAGTGACAGTGGCTCAGTACACATCCCCCAGATGTTAACTTGTTATGACAACTGGGGCAATGGGCAGATACTACTTCCTTCCTTTTTAATTTAACCATTCTGGTTTATTTGACACATTTCTTTTTCCAGTGTTTTCAGGTTCACTCTCACTAATAATACAGTCCATAGAAAGCCCAGGGATTCATATGAGTTATCTGAGAAACCTCAGAACTTTTAACCTCATCTTAAACCCAGTATTATAACTGTGTTAACAAAGCTGTTAATGGAACAAACTGTTCATTACACAACATCATGGAGAAAAAGGCAAATAACTTTGGGTAGCTGGGTCTGACACAGCGAAAAACCTCATTTTTTTCATAACTTTGTTTCAGTTTGAAGGGGAACATTTTAGGCACCTTAATGTAAGGAGACAATGGCAAAATCAGTGGGAGTGTAACTAAATGGCATTTTTTTATCTTGTTTCATGCTGTATGTTTGTCAACAGAGCACACCATATATATGCAGTAGATACACTGATACTTTGATTAGACCTGTCTTAAATAAAAGCTTTCCAGGGCATGAGCTGCCGTTCTTCACCTATGGCAATTACCATTTGATATCATTTAAATATTGCCTCTACTTGCACTGGGCTGGTATCAGCCCAATTATCCTTCTCCTGTACTACTTGGCTATATGAGGAAAAGGAGAAAACCTTTTTCATGCACTCACAAACATAAAGAAAAAGCCAAACAAGCCCCACTCTTCCTGCCTGGCTTCCTATAGCCTGGGTAGAAAGCAGGACACAGCAAACAACAAATGTTCCACAATTCCTCTCTTGCAAACAGGAGGCCACCAAAGCAAAGGCAGCTGCCCAAGGGACTCCCAGCTCATAACAAAGTTATTCTGGGAATTGTAGGGAATTAGAGAGAATTGAGTCAAAACACCTTAGCTCAAAAACTATGCACCACAGTTCAGAGAGTGTGAACTTTCCCTTGAAAACCAAGCATTTTTTTTACTTGACTGCTCCCCAAAATCATATGGGTTTTCCAGATGCCATGTCAGGATGCACTGTCATCTTAAGCAGCTCAGCCAAATTCTTTTGCCCTAGTATCCAAGAGCAGAAGCAGCACTTTGCCCCTTTCACCATTCTCCCTCCTGGTGCAGTTACAGTCATTTTTTCAAACCAGCTCTGTCTCTCATACCATACTGCTCCAACTGAGGAAGACAGCACCTTCTTACCATGCAACAAGCAACTGCTTTCTCCTATTTTAGATCTAAACTTAAAGCCAAACTGGTATGTAACCTCTCTTTACATGAACAAAACTTTCCAAGCCCTCCCTTCCCTGAACGGTTAGTTTTGGTTTTACTTTTGTATTAGTTTGATTTCTCAGAAGAAGGAGAGAAAGCTTTTACACTGTAATGTGTTAAAATACAAGGCACCCCATCCAAACACTATTATTAATAACCTTCATGCAACACAGCTGTTTATATAAAACAGATGCAGCATGTAACCAATTTTTGCAGATTCTATAGGTCTGTGAGCATGCAAATCTCTTTCACATGAAGGACTCATCCCTTTATTTTTAGATGAGATGAGTTAAGCAAAAGTCTATGTTTAGAACATAGAAAAAACAACCAATGCAGACAGATATGACAAGTATATGCATGAAACTGTAAACCCTGAGGAAGATTTGGAAAACTTCTGTAACTGAAGTGCTACTGAAATATCCTGTAACTCCTGCTTCACTTTTATGTCTCTCTATATAGATATAGAATCCATTAATGAAATGCAATCCTAAACGAAGCTGGCAAAAGTAGTATAACAGTTTTTGTTATTAAAATACAGTGCTCTCTTACATCTCCCTCTAATTTAGAAATGAGATTAACATAGCATGTAAGTTCTTCATAATAATGGGATCTTTTCACCTTCAGGTATTTTTGCCACTGTTAAAACTGAACTACAGAACTCTAGATGATAAAACACTGTTCGTCATCTTCAAGATTACAAATAGAAAAATGTATTAAAAAACCCAAAACAAACCACAGAAACTTACATGCCATTCAGTTCACCTTTTTTAGTCTATATTTACCATGTAAATTTAGATTACTTCTACTAACAGGAATCCTTTGTCCAGTTTTCCATTTATTAAATATATATATAATATATATTTATATATATAAGAAAAAACCCCATTAAAATGCCCTTATTTATCTGTTCCATAAAAAAGATGGGGAAGAGAAAAAAAACCCACACTTTCTAGCACTTTAAGCATCCATTAATTTGAGTCCACCATACATAACACCCATTTCTGACATACATCCTTCTTTTTTTGCGAGTGAAGGAAATAGGCAAATTTCTATCAGCTCAAAGGGACTGAATATACAGCAATGATGAAACAGATGGCTTTAAGTAGCAGTAACAAAGGAAACAGCACTTTTCTTTGAAACCATAAAAGTATTTTTTTCAGTATTTTGCTATTTTCTGAAGTGCTGGCATCTGTAGGGAAGGGATTAGAAGACTTTAATAATTCTGATATGCCAAAATAGTATAAATAGTGACAATAAATCTTCTATGGCTTAGTGACGTAGCACTCACAGTGATGCTGTTGACACACACTTCCACACTTTCCAGGTACAGCTCTTAATTTTTTTCAGCAATCTCAAACTCAGGCATCTTTGTACTGAATGGATAAGGCTACATACATTAATCTCTCACAGAAAAAGGCACACTTACTATTGGTGGAAGTATGCTTGCTAGAGAAGCTAATTTAAAAAATCAATTTTGAAAGGTTTTACCAAAATCCTTTTTTTCTTCTCTACCTAAAATGCATAATCTTAATTCATAATCCAATGTGCAAGGCAAAAGCAGTGCTGTGCCTAAAATGCAGTACTGGTCATGACACCCCATGTATTTTAAAAGCAATGTGTACCTCAGCAAAAGTGCAACATCTCTGGTTCCTTAATACCTCTGTTCTCCAAATACTGGTATGTTTTCCCTGTTCAATTTGATTTAACAATTTCTTACTAAGCAGAATAGATGAATTCAAAGTCACACTCGATTTTGTCTAGAATCATGCCTCCTGCTGATATATCAGCAGCTGACAAAAGGAAACAATCCCGACACATGCCACAGCAAGGAGCATAGCTTTTGCTATCATCCTGTTACATTAGGCCGGTCCTTCACCTAGAGCTCTTACTTCTGTTTCAGCCCCTGCACAAGAGGGAATAAGGTGGCAGCAGCAGTAGCATAAAACAATCCAATAAACATTTCATATAGAATATTCCCCACAGTGGGCACCGAGGAGCACATCTACAACATTTTCTTGAAAAGGCATGTTCATACAAGCTCTGGCACAAGGGGCAGACCAGCCAACAGCATAGCCATAGTGCTGGCACAAAAGGCACTGTACGGAGGTTGCTAAAACTTTCTTCCATGCTTCTGAGCAGGGCAGATTCCATCTGCTGGGAGCTGTTCATCTAAACTGCTATTTCCATTGCTCTGGTCTGGGGAGCATAATCCTGAATGTTAAGGCAGAATTACTTAGATTTAGCAACAGTAACTGCTGGAGCTCAAGCAGCAGCTTCCAAGGACACTGTCCAGAGGGTACAAGAAAGATGTAAGATGTGTTTAAAGCTGTGCTAAGATGAAAAAGATGTTTGGCATTTATAAACAAAGGCTTTGATGATTTCAGGAATAACAGAAAGAAGATTTGTTTGAAGACAGGTTTTCCCTGAGGAGGGGTTTGAAGACAATGCGCATTTCAAGAGAAGACGTTCTTGCACAAACCTCTGGGAGATAACTGGCAAACTGTTAAGCACTACTTACTAGACTTTTCTGAACAAGATTCTTTTCTGGTAGACACTGACTCACTGGAATACATACATCATTATTCAGTCTCCTTTTACTAACATTTTTACTAGATACTTCATGAAGAATAAAATCTGTCACAATCGCACTGTGACTTAACCTCTCAGATGACATAGCATTTCCTGAAAGGCAGTTTCTTGGAGGATTTAAAAGAAAAAAAAAAAAAAGGGTGAAGGAAAAAGAAAAACCCAAACCAACAGAAAACAGAGGCTCCTGTGGTCTGTTTCGAGCCAGAAATCCTAAATTCAGCTTTGGCAGCAAATCCCATCAGGGCTTTCCAAAGGGCTGCATGGGATTCCATTTTCAAAAGGACTTAAAAGTTTTAGAAGCAGGTTTCCTTGTTTGAAGTGATTTAGACTAATGAGCTAAAACATTGCTGCATGTACTGCTTCATGCTCTGTTATGTCCAGTCCAGTGAGAAGTAGGGTTCTCCCACAACTCCTGACGGATTTAGATATAAGGGTTTGAAATACTGGAACCTTGTTTCTTACAGCTTTCTGGTGGAGGTGACTGGCCCTGATCAGGAAAAGTGGACGAGAACACTCATAGTGGTCAGCATAAACATTAATGAACCAAGACTGTATTAGCAGGCTGGGCTGTAAACTTCTTCTGCTCATGGCACAACTATGAATCAGAGATTAAAGGAAACAGTACCTGCTGTGGCTGCAGTGAGATTCACCAGAGGCTATCCGTGAAAGGTCACAAGCTCCCAAATGTTTGAGACGCTCTTAAAAGCAGATGTGGGTGCCCTTGACAGTGGCTCACAGACTGTGTGCCACATTCCCTTCTCTTGTTCTAGTCTGTGATTTTTATTTGGTTTAGTATGGAGATTTTTTTAGGGGAGGATGAAGTAAGGCATCCAGAATTCTTATCAAAGAATAAATTTAAAGTTTTTATTCCATTTGCACTTTTGCAACAGACATATTATTTAAAAAAAAAAAATCAGACGTACCACAGTATACTTGACCTGAACGCTTCAGTGCTGTTTCTACATTTTGTGAGAGACTGGAAATAACTCCTAAATGTGTAACATTTTGACCATGAAACAAGAAAACCTGTAAGCCTATTATGAGCAGCAGTGTTTACTTTCTGAATATTGTCAGATCTTCTGATGCTTTGTTTTCTGTTGACAGTAAGTCACTGCACCAACAGAAATGGGGGCATGAAAGGGAAAAGGATACATAAGAGTCTGAACTTTCGTGTGGAAGGGTTGAGTAGGTAGGACTGCAACCATGGCCTAGGTGTTATATTAGGTAGATGTTTCTGTTAAAATATTTAGTATTAAAGGAGATTTTAATTTAAACTTCCCATTAAATCATAATTAAAATTGTAAGTCAGTGTTTTGATGCCCTCTAGCTTTGCAAGTTAGTCTCAATATCTAGGTAAAACCGATAAATTGGGTTTAAACAAACTTGAAATGCCTAAAAAATGTCCTATATTCAATCATAACTCAGGTATCAAACTGTGATGAATATGCTGTGCTAAACTGGTTGCTTTTTCAGGATAGCTGAAAAAGGTATATAAAACCTAAGCCAAGCCAGTCAGTCCACCTGTGGCCAACAAACAGATTTTAGCACCGAGTTCTACCTGCTCAAGCTTTTTGTTGTATCAAGACCACACTTTTTACCCATTCAAAGCTCCATTTAAGTCAAGAGAAATACTTTCTGAATTAAGGGCTGAGTAAGAAATAAATACAGACCCTTACTTCTATCCAGACATTAGTACCCCATTTCTTTGCCATTGCAATTTCAACCCACTATACTATCTGTTGACTGAAGTCCATCTCACTACCAGTTTCCTAGGAGCACACATAGATTACAATAAGAATGCAGCCTCAGGTAAGTTTGGTTCTGGATGATGGAATAGCCCTCAATTTGCCTAATGTTCACTAAACCTGTTATTGAAAGAGATCCAGTGCTCAGGGGAAAGAATGAAAGGTCGGTGCTGCATGTTCCTCTCTCACAGCACACCTTTGCCTTTGTTCAGAAAGCTAGGGAACCTTATTACTTCTGAAAGTATGTTTTCCTTTTTCTGAGCTTTAAGTGGATAGCAGTTATGACAAAACCTGCCAGGGTTGCTGCTGTGCCAGAAACCACATAGGCAATTCCCAGGAATGGGTTACTTCCTCCACTCCATACCACAGTTGAAAGAATCACATGCTTCCTTGCCTTGAATTTGGTAACAGGGAAATCTGATAGAAGGATGTTAAGGTTTCACTAATGAAGTTTGCATTATTTCCAGGAGAAAAAGTGCTAAAAGCCCTTTCCAAGACATAAAGAGCCTGGAGATCTGCATTTGCTGCAAAAATTCTTCTAACTGATCTGTGATGTCTCTGCTATTCTGGGTCCAAAACTCTGTAGCAGCTGGTGGTAAGAAAGCCAGTTATTTTAAATATAGTCTCTGTATGAACACGGAAATACTTTATTTTTTAACATAAATTCCAGTTTCATAATTTATGTAACTGGTACTGTGTTAATTTATATGAAAACCCAGTTGAAAATTAGCCTTTTTGGCAGCTTAGCATGATGATTGGAACTAGATGATCTTTAACGTCCCTTCCAACCCAAACAACTAGATAATGATGGTGATCCACATATTCTCATTGAGGGGAAGTGCTCACCTCTACCTAATATATTACCTACCCAAAATGTTGTATGATTTTACCTTACATCTCTCCACATGGAAACTTTCAGACCAAAATGTGCTATAGTACTTAAAATCATAGCTCTAGTGGCTGAGACAGAAATTTATAATCATCTTGACATAACTACTGCTGACAAAGTAAGTGTTTTAATTGGAAAAGTTTGTGCTGTTTGGAGCGAGAGTGCATTTTCAGCAGCAGAAAAATTCCTGTGAGTAGGTGGCCTGAGTCCAAAAACCCAAAGTCATATGCTCCCATTTGATAACATCTGCACAGACCAAAGAAAATCTATTTATAGTGTCTCATCACCTTAAAAACTAGGTCTTGTCACAGTGACAGTCTGGGCTGTTTCTCTCAGTTTCTTTGCTGTTTTACTATATAAATACTATCCACTTCCATCCTGTAACTGTCTACTCGTCTTGGATAACATGAAAGGATACTGTAAGAAATACAAAAAGTGTAATTCCCTGCTGGGAGGCCATCTGCAAACTGCCTTATCCGTCTGACACGACGGTAAAGATTTCTGAAGGTAGCAAAGGCTGACACTCGCATCCAGATAATGAAGTCGTCATTTACATAACCGTTGTTCTTTTCATCTTCCTCGTCTAACAAATATACTGGCTTCTGCCAGTAAGGAGGTCTTGATGTCCCTGACAAAAAAGGAAAGAAACCAGGAAAGACAGACTGTCAGTCACTGGTGACATCTGGGCCTTCTCACAACCAACACAGAATATGAAATATGAAAGAGACACAGGACTTTGTCCGGTAGTGAAGAATTATATATGCTAGATAACTTTTCAACCAAACATTTCACTCACTTCAACCGTGAATGAACAGAGTTTACCAGTACCCAGGGGTTGCTACACATCAGAAACTTTAAGATCAGGAAAAACAAAGTTACTTGCACAAATGAAAACACTGTTTATTCTGGATTGTTGCCTGTTCAGCATGAGGAGCTTGCCTTCATTTTTGTACTTTAATTTATTCCTGTACAACCAGAAATGCACCTTTCTGCAGTCTAATGGCAGAGGTTATGCTATTTAGAGTCTGTCATATGAAAACTTAGATAATTAACTCTTGCCTATGGCACTGTGCACAGTACTGCCCTGAGCCACAATAAGGAGCTTTTGGCTGCACTTCAATACAGATCAACCATAAGAAGGCAACAGCTATGAAACAGCTGTTTTAAAGAGCTAGCGATGAAGGCAGTCCCACTTGTCTAACAACTGCCTATGAATCTGCAAAGATATGAAGATGTGACACACAATTCTCCTTCATTGACATTTTCAATAGGAAAAAAATAAAGTGGACTGCATCCTTTCTTTTCCTGAACAGATTATGCATTACAAGAAACTGTATAGAAGGGTGTTGACATGGGGTAACTTCAGTCTTCTGAAACCACTTTCTTCCAGTTTTGCGGTCAGTGATGAAAAAAACCCCAGAATAAAACAGAATAAAAATTCTATGGTCAGTGACTAAAAAAAAGTGGTATTTTGGTTAAGTCTGTCTTTTCTCAGTCACCCTCTAAAGCTGCTTCTCCAAACTGCTTTGGGAAGCACTTCTCCCAAAGGCAACATCTCAGAATGGGAGATCCTCACACAGGGGAGAAAAGGTAGGGAAGCCACTGAAAAATAAGGAATACCAGTGGAACCATTCTTACCTGCAAATGCAGAAGAGAGATTGTATGATTTTGGATTGCGAAATTTCACATTTTTATCTGTCCACCAGCTGTTTCCAGGCTTCAACAGCGGTACTTGAATAACAGATGAGTTAAGACTGTAAAAAAAGATCAAGAGTATCTGCAGAAAATACAAGAAAGAATATGTCTGAGCAAAGGACAGTCATTCTAATTGCCAGCATCAATAACAAAAACTGCCACACTGAAGTATCTTTCAAGTGAATAAAAAATTAAAAAAAAAATCAAAATGGTGCTTAACCATGATATCCCTGTTTCGGGGAGCAAAAAGAACTTGTTTTTATCCATTACATTTTCCTACTTAGATTAGTTTAACATAAGTCAAAAACATTATAAGCCTCATTAACGTCTATGCAAACAGGCAGCCAATGAGATGACAGGCAGGGATAACTGGATGAAACAGATGGGGAGGGGCTGCTTTTTAGGAAACATGAAAACCACAACTCAACTGCACAAGCATCAGTGAAAACAATATTTTAGGGTTTTTTTATCCTGCTACAAAAGCTGTGTCATGCAGCTCCTTCAGGCTCAGACACGCTCTTGTGAGTAAGTGATCGTTCTGTGTACTACCTCCCCAGCTGTTTGCCTCTAGTTTACTAAGAGCTGTTGCAATTCTCTGAGCCTCTGCCTGCTTATCTGCTTGTCTGACTCCTCTCTTTACTGCTAGCTTTGAAAACCTTAAAAACCTTTCTCACAGCAGGAACTTGGCTATCTTCCTCATTTTACAAAACAGTGTAACAGTGCAATTAGACAACTAGCTAAGACATCAAAAGTGAATGGGAAGCATCCTCTTTTACAGCAGAGGGACAGAAATGAACCACCAGAGCAGGATTTAGACAGGCCTGTATCTAGTGGAGTGCCTCAAGGGTCAGTACTGGGACCAGTATTATTTAATATATTCATCAATGATTTAGATGAGGGAATTGAGTGTACTATCAGCAAGTTTGCTGATGACACTAAGCTGGGAGGGGTGGCTGACACACCAGAAGGCTGTGCTGCCATCCAGCGAGACCTGGACAGGCTGGAGAGTTGGGCAGGGAGTAACTTAATGAAATATAACAAGGGAAAGTGTAGAGTCCTGCATCTGGGCAGGAACAACCCCAGGTTCCAGTACAGGTTGGGGAATGACCTGTTAGAGAGCAGTGTAGGAGAGAGGGACCTGGGGGTCCTAGTGGACGACAGGATGACCATGAGCCAACACTGTGCTTTTGTGGCCAAGAAGGCCAATGGCATCCTGGGGTGTATTAGAAGGGGGGTGGTTAGTAGGTCGAGAGAGGTCCTCCGTCCCCTCTACTCAGCCCTGGTGAGATCTCATCTGGAATATTGTGTCCAGTCCTGGGCCCCTCAGTTTAAGAAGGACAGGGACCTGCTGGAGAGAGTCCAGCGCAGGGCAACTAAGATCATTAAGGGAGTGGAGCATCTCCCTTATGAGGAAAGACTGAGGGAGCTGGGTCTCTATAGTTTGGAGAAGAGGAGACTGAGGGGTGACCTTATTAGTGTATATAAATATATAAAGGGGGAGTGTCACGAGGATGGAGCCAGGCTCTTCTCAGCGGCAAACAATGATAGGACAAGGGGAAATGGGTGCAAACTGGAACACAAGAAGTTCCACTTAAACTTGAGAAGAAACTTCTCCTCAGTGAGGGTGACGGAACACTGGAATGGGCTGCCGAGGGAGGTTGTGGAATCTCCTTCTTTGGAGACATTCAAAACCCGCCTGGACACGTTCCTGTGTAACCTTATCTAGGTGTTCCTGCTCCGGCAGGGGGATTGGACTAGATGATCTTTTGAGGTCCCTTCCAATCTCTAACATACTGTGATACTGTGATCAGCCCCTTCCTGCACATCACCAGCAGCCGGAACCTTTCAGCACACTGTGCACCAAGGACAGATGCAAGGCAGACACTGAGAGGTTTACCCTCAGCATTTTAAAATCTTGATATCTCTAGTTCTCTGAGGGAGCATTCTGTCCTGTGGCCAGGGCTCCAGAACACCGTGGGCTGCAGGAAGGTAGCTCTGCTTGCCTAGGTCTGAGCCCAGACCAGTGAATCAGTCTTCCAGAGAAATAGGTGGGTAGGCAGATGAAGATCAAAAGGATCTAGAAGTTACCAAACACAGCTGCCCTTCACAAGTGCTCTGGTGTGGGTGGCTCAGCTGCTTGAGAACAGCTGCTGCATTGTCAAAAACTGCTGCATGGACCAGGTCACACACAAAAAAAACCCCAAACAACAGGCAGGGCCAGATAAAAAGGATGGGGTAAGTGAGAAAAGACTGTAGACATTTTTTGTTTCCTTTCATCCCAAAGAAATCCATTCTGAAATCTGCCAGTATTCATGGCTAAGGGCCCTCTGCATTTCAGCTTAAATGTACTCAATAGGCAGGTGATATCCATAAAGTTACTATAAATAAGATCAAAGGTGGGATCAAATTAAGTAAGACTATGTATGCTTCCAGCATTCAAAGAACAAAATGCAACTACGCAGATCTAAAGATCCAAACCATGTGAAGAATATGTCACATCCTCCTAAGCACACCCCTGTGGGAAGTGCTTAGAAGGATGCACAGGCTTAATACCTGTGGGAAGGTAGGATCTAGGCTCTCCATCACTACACAAGAATGTGGGGTTTTTTTAGCAAGGAAGTACACTAAATCAGCATTCCTTATTTCACCAGGGACTCAATTCCTCAGTCCGGTCATATATTCACATTGAGGAGGGCCTTACTAAAAGAAAAATCTTTCTCAGTTTCAAAATGAGGGGCAAGTTATCAAGCAGAAGGAAGGAGAGCCCCCTCTTCACTACAGTAGCACTGCTAAACAAAACTTCTCGCGGAAGAAAGACAGATTTTGCAATATCAGGACTCAGCTGGATTGGGGTAATGGAACAGTTTTAAGTGTTAAGTAAGTGTAACTTAAGTGTTAAGTTTTAAGTAAGGCAGATGTGGAAGGTACCTACTTACCATTGAACATGCTGTTGGCAATAGCGCCGCATGGGGCCATGGGCATCCCATTTGGGTAGGTTGTCAAGAGCACGCAGTAACTATTCTCAATCTGCATTCAAGGTCACAAAACAATCAGGCACAGAACCTGGAGGTTTTGATGTAGTTTGGTGGTGTTAATGTTCTACTTCCATTCCTTCTCCTGAAACGCCACTGAATAATTAACTCTCCAGTCCATTTTGGTCACATAAGAGATACATCCAAATGAGTATGTTGTTGACACCTTCTGTGCTACACCACTGTGTATCACAGTAAGTAAACCTAAAGTTTTCACCAAATTCTGCTGTGGACTTGTAATCTCCAGACTACAGAAACTCATTTTGGGATCTGCTACTGTAACACAGCTACAATTAAAAATGTTCCAGTGAAGCTTTGGCTTACCCTTGCACATCTTATTTTTCATTCTTTTTAATTTTCGCCTGGGCTGCTGCAGTGGTGGAGAACAGCAGATACAGTTAGCCACATTACTGCAGTTCTATGTAGGGAAATCTTGACGTATGAAGACAGAGCAAGAGAAACAAAAGCCCATCTCAAATTTAACACATCTCTCCTATCCCAGTTCATGAGAAACTATAAATCTGCATGTTTAAACGCAGAAACATTTTCAAGTAACTCGAGTAAGCTGTGTATCTGATTGGTACAAAAGCCAGAAGTGGTTGCACCTGGGTACAAACAAGCTGACTGGACACCTGGAGAAGCAGATGTTTAGGCAACATGTCTTGAGAGTTACAAGAGGCATTTTATAGAAATGACAGATTGTTATGGCATAATCGTTACATGTACTGGGAGGACATGTGTGTGGACTGTGTGTATATAAATGCTGCTTTTAAGCCAAAGAAAATATGTTTTAGATTTGTAAGTAAAAAACCTGAACGCAATGACTGCATTCTCCAATTTTCTTACGCAGGCCTGCTGCAGGTGATGCTGTCTAGCCTCTTTTTTAGACCTCTAGTTTGCATTCTTAGAATGCTACATGATCAGCTATTTCACAATACACCTTTTCCTGCTCCTTGTTCACTTCCAAAGCCAGATGGCAAACTGGAAGACTCAGAATAACTTAATTCCCTAACCTTATGGTAAAAGCACATTTTAAAACACTTCTGGCTAAGACAACTGAAAACACCGGGAGAAGGTTTATTTTATAAAGACAATGTCTTTTTAGTTAGCATCCCTACAATGTGCAGGTTTGAGAAATGCAACACTGGACTGACACCTTTTATTTATCCCCTCATTTTTCTTCTCTTTCTTACTGATTAGACATAATGCCCTAACAATCACAGAAGCAGGGACCAAACACTGAAAAATTCCGTACCTTATTATTTATTATTTCTTAGAGGCATCTTAACACATAGTTAGTTCTCTATATGGTCAAAGATGCACCTGATGGAAATACTGCAGATCTCATAATATAAAGAAGAAAACTTACATTTACATTTCGACCCAACAACTGTGCATCACTTCTTGATATCACATATCGACAGTGATTTTGGTAGAAGTTTTGGAGCCCACAGTACATAAAAACATCACCCTAGAATTCAAGAATATATCCCCTCAATAAGATGAGTTCCTGCTGACAAAGAGAAATCCTATTACTTGCTAAAAAAGAGAGGGGAAGAGAGCACTCAGTTAATATTTAAGTGCTGGTAACTTCATGCTAAGCAATTACTTCAGTGGACACTGGCTACAATCTAGTCTTTATCCTAATTAAAAGTTCTAGTATTTTGGCACAAAATTAAACATACTTTAAACCACCAAATAAAACCTAAAATAAAAATGCTTGATTATTATTTTACTCAAGATTGACACAGCTGGCCATGAATCTGCAATGACTGAATAATTTCATGGAGACAAGACACTTATTTTCCATAGAACAAGATGCACAAAAATCTTCAAAAAGCACCCATTAGCTCTTCATTCCTTTAGATTTTCTGAAAAATAAAGCTGCCTCTCATCAATTATGTGAACCCTTTGGGAAGTTTAGTGCTGTGATTCAAAGGAGAATGCTAGGCAGACAAATACAATCAGTAAAGAGGATTATTAAAATATTAAAAACTTTATTAATTTAAATAAACTTCTAATCATCAACATAATATGTAGAATTACAGAGTATTTCAACAGCCTCTTCAGTACTGAAGAACCAACCCTGAAGTGACTTTATAACTTAAACTGCATTGTAATTTTAAGTGATCATTTAGATAGTACTAAGCGTAAGATCTCTTTGGTGGAACATGAAGCATTTTAACAGTGTCAGAAACATGCCCCAGTAGGTTAGGACAGGAAATGAAGGATACTTTTCCCAAAAGAAACTGCAGAATGACATTGCTAGACTTGAATTATTTCAAGGACCTTGGGGATTAACAGCATAGCCCTCATAAAAAAGACAACAGGGATTTACTGATGACAAGTGGTCAGAGCTTCAGATTTCCTTCTCATTTGAGAGCTCAGCAGTGCAGCAACAGCTAACCCCAGGCAAAGAGGAAGGGTCTGCTACTGACTCAGAGGGATATCGAGATATATGACCTCCACAAACAAATACCATTTCCTTCATCCCCATCTTCTCCTTGGACATCTCCCAACCACGGACAGAGTTAGCCTGATCTTGTTCATTTTTAACATGCACCAAAATGAATAGAAAAGGCATAAAATGTTGAGTATTTCATGTTTTTAAAAAAGTACAAAGAAAATTTAGTCAAGGAGCTCTACACAGCAGTATTATATTTTATCATATAGGGATATAAGTAATGGGAGGTACTAATCGACTTGAATTGGCTTCTTGCATCCGCTTACCAATATATCTTCCTTTAGTGTGAAATTAACAGAACAGGGGCATTCCTTATTCCAGTTAGATGAATTTTCACGAAGTTTTAAACAATCTGAGCATTTATCTGAATAATCAATCTGTCAGAGAAGTGAACAAGCAGAGGTATTGTAATAAGGGACATGCACATAGGAAAAGGTTAGTGTTTTAGCTCCAAGCCTTTTCAGAGCAGTTTTCTTCTAAGTGACTCCGGACTGCCAAAACATTGTTAAAAACCAACAGCAGAGAATCAGGACTTGGCCTCAATGAACATTCACGAATTTTATTCCTGGTTTAAAGATGTTTTAAAGCCTTTTGATGACTGTTGCAGAACCTTCATGGTTTCTCCTCCGCAAAGGAGTGCTGAGTGAAGAACACTTCTGCAGCTTTGTCTGGCTGACCTAGTAATGCTTGACAAATGCCCACGTGCACTATGGCCCACCCTGCTCTAACAGCCTGGATTTAGTGCTGAGTGTTGGCTCCAGCCACCACAGGTCTAAACAACATTGCCTCCAGGAGGCATTTAAACATCAGATCTCAATGCATTTTAAGATTTTGCCACAGCAAACATTTAAGTTCATCTAATATCAAACACTATCGAAGGGATTAGCTTATTTTTCTTCAAAAAACCCCAGGAAATAATAGCAACATTTCAAATATTACCAGCAGGGTCAGAAATTACTACCCATATTTTAGATATTACCACCCAGTCAACCACTCAATGCTCAGATTTTATTTGTGACTGATTATTTCTGAGGATTTTCGCAGGAATGCTAGCTGCTGGACGTGTATCCAAGGCATGAAGCTACTGCTGCCATCTTTATCTAGAAGCAAAAATACAAAGCCTTTTTCCTCTAAATGTAGCCCAGTTTCCTCTTTATAGCATACTAAGAACATAACCCCTAACAAACCTGGATTTCTCTGATGCTGTTTGCAGACAATATGAGGCAGACTCCCACAGAGAGGCAGAACATGCCTGTGAGAAAGAAGGTGGAGAGCACAGCTGCGATGGTAAGCTGGGGCTTCCAAGCTGGTAGTCTCTGTTGTCTGAACGCACTGTTATCCGGACACCTTCTTATCCGGACATGCTTCTCCTCCTTGCTGAAGAAAGCTCGTCTTGTTTTTCATTTTCTTCTTGGTGAGAGGAAGAAGTAATGCGCTGGAGAGTGTTTAGGCTGAGATACTGTCCTTACTGTTGCAAGACTGTACTGTTTGTTCAAACCTGCATTATGGCCAGGAATTACTTATTAACTGGATCTCTCTCTTCCTCATTTTCTACAGTTGTGCCTGGATCCCCATATCAGCTTGTACCAATCAAACGACTGTGTACTTTGGTCAGGGCGTCCATCTTACGCATACTGGAAAAAACTTAAATATATTCTTCCTGGTCCAAAATTCAGTAGGATTTGTTACATCTTATTAATTTGCCAGCTATACTGGAATTTCAGTGTATTCTCCCTTCACTTCCATAGCTGCCCAGCTAACAGGCATGGCATACAATGAAAGGAGCTCTATTCTAATTCCATGGGATGCCACTGGGGAGCACTGCAGGTGCTGAGACAGCACTGGACAGAAAACATTGTTTTGAAAGACTAAATAAATCAATTTTCTTAACCTACTACACTCACTACTGTTGATTCAGATACAATTTAAAGTTGCAAAAAGGTTACATGTTCTTTATCACAAAAGGGCAACTCATTCTCAAAACATCTAATTTGGATCAATGGTTTTCCAAGATGCTGATGATTTGATCACCTGTATACATCTTGTTTTCTAGAAAAACTCCATCTATTCCCTAATATCCACAAAAGACAAAAGAATCACCCAGGGATCATCTCCTTTTAATTTAAATGGCCAAACAGGAGAATATTTTGTGCACACTTCAACAGTTTAACAAAAATAAAATCTCAATACAATATACAGATAATTTATCATGTAATAGAAAAACAGAGCATTTGGCCAGCTCTAGAACAGATATTTTTCACCTATCTTTTTGCCAAATTACTGAAATTCATACAACCTTTTCAAAGACCCTTGAACGCAAGAATGAGATCACCATTCTCACGAGAAATGTAAATGTCTCCTTTAGGACAGCAAGGGGAGATAACAGAAAATTGAACTGCATAAAGGTTTTCAGACCCAAGCATGCTTATCTTCGAAGTCTTAGAAGTGACATTTAGTAGTAGTAAATCTAGCAGGTGAATGTGATTTAACTCTGATTTCAGTATCGCATTGTTTCTACAATAAAAACAGTACTAAAACTACAAATAAAACTTCTGTTTTATTATTAAAAGAAAATTCAGAAAAAGTTGCAATGGGCATTCTTTCTGTATTGATAGACCTCTGAAAAGTCAAAATTCTTGATTCCACCACCTGCTAATCACTTTCCAACTGCAGGCAAGATAATAGTAAAATGCAGCTGCAAATTATTTCCTTGTTGGTAAAATCATTAAAAGAGTCCCAGCTTCACAGACCCCTCTCTGCACAGCTTTATAATACTCATCTCCAGTAGGTCAATTGTTTCTTTCTTTATCTGAAGAAAACAAAAATCGAAGAAAACATCAAAAGTTACTGCTAATGCTTTAGCTAAGTACCAGTATTTATTTACTCAGGCATCTTACTGTAGGACTAGAAATTAAAGAAGAGGTTCCCATACAAGGTCCTGAGTCCTTGAATGATTCCATTTTGTAAAATCTCTTAGCATTTGCTCTGCAACCCTAAAATACAACTATGGCTCGTGAAGTCCCATCTAACATGGCTACAAAAAAGTTGCTGATAAAGCATGCCATAGCAAGAGGTCTGTCCTGGGCTGCAAAATCCCTAAGGACTTTCCAGAGTATCAACCGGTACCAAGCAGTTCAAGGGCAGTATTACATCACAACAGATACAACTGCATCTGTGTCTGACACATATCAATGAAAAACAGCATGAAGGTCAGGTCGATATGCAAAGTACTTTGGTTTATAACATGGATATGGCTGTAGCTTACTGTTTATCTAAAGATAAAAGACAAGTGTATTCAAGAGTAAATACTGACTACATATTTCAGCAGGAACACAAGATTACCACATGGTTAGTACATAAATAGCTCCCTCTTTCCACTTACAAAGAACCTATTCGAATGTTTTCTCTGAGGATTACATCCTTCTGAGCCTCCACTCTGCACGGGAACAAATGATGTGACAAAGCCTGAACAATTTCTATTCCACACAGGATGTGCTACAAAAGGGTGAAAACAGTTGCCTTTTTATTCCAAGTCTGTTTCTGACAAACCTTTTTACTTTCATGAGGCCTGAAACTTTCTGTATTTTCAAAATTCCTCAAATCTCAGTGTTTGTATTGTTCACAGACAATACAATATTGTGTGGGTTTTATGAAAACCCCTCCATTTGAATTTAGGAACAACTAATCCGAGGAGCTGAGACACCTCTGTATTGCCATCAACTTCTCCACACAAAAATTTCACAGTTGTATCCTTTGGTCAGATCAGAAAGTATACAATCAATTTCTAGTTAAACTTTTATACATTAGTGTAACCCCAGTGTGCCGAGAGAGTCTGATAAACTCGTTTTCCCTGGTTTCTTTGTGAGCTTTTTCTTTATTATTTCCTTTTCTCTATTGCTTGGCATGAATGAAGTGGGAAACAGAAAGAGGGAGAAGAAAAATCCAACAGCATTAACTAATGACATGTTGAAGCAACTGAGGGAGCAGTGGATCAGGGCACCATTCATTATGTGGGTATGATGGGATACAGGACTCCCATGTGGAAAGATTCATGTGTTTTTAAATTGATATATTTAGCAGAATATACAACTGTACATAATTCTCTACTGAACACCATGTGAGCACAAAACCAGCAAGTAGAATGGACACATGCTTCCAGCTGTTCTTGTTCTCTGTGTAATTACAATGAAATTTAGCAATGCAACACCCTAGATATTCAAAGAATTATCAACAATTGATGTCTGCACTCTCTAGCATGACTATGACTTATTTCTAATTTTAATTTGACTTATTTGACTTATTGTATGACTTATTTCTAATGACATATTTCTAATATGACTTATTTCTAATTTTGCCTCCACCAGTAAAAATGGATGAAAGAAATTAATACATCAAATTGCCGATTCTCTAAATTACTTTTTTGGTACTATAATTCTTCTCTTCTTTGAGAAAACCTATGACTATTCATAGGATGTATTTAAGATTCTTATACAAGTAGAACAGTAATATCCTCTGCTCACTAAGACTATTACATATTTCAAGTATGCAAGTTGGCAAAACATCCCATTGGTATCTACTCTGTTAAGATGCCTTGTCTCCAAAACATTACTTGGATATCTTTTATTGCTGAAATTCCTTACAGATAAATTTCAGGAATCTGCCTGATGTCTGCAGCAGGACAAATAGCTGCAAGACGCTCCACTTACATAGATCAAGATGTCAAACACCTTTCTGTATGTTGTATTACCCGAGTCAAGTGCAGGTTTGAATGCTCTTCTGTAATCACATATTCACTGTTCTGTAATTAAGCATAAATATCTATTCCTTCCTATGAAGGTGTAATATTCTTTCTTACTTGGTTTTAACATGAACCAAGCCATAACATTTTATGCTAAGAGAGCCTTAAGATTTTGCCTTAAAAAAAAGTTATCTGGAGTCCTATAATTTTTGTCTTATATTCATGCAAAAATGCTGTGATGCTGCACACAGAGCTGAAAGCGATAGCTCAGGTTTGCAACAGCCCAAAAGAAAATCTTAGCACCGTATCTTCAGGTTTTTGAGGTGGATCACCTATAGTTTACTGTATGTATATTTTCTTCAGTCAATTTAAAAAATCTATTCCACTGCAACCAGAACTTTTTGTACTGCTGTCTCTGTGAATTCATGTTCTCTGTTCTTTAAAAACACGTAAATGCAAACACTATACAAAAAGCCTTTTATGTATTTACCACAAGAGGGAGCCTCCTAGCTGGTGTTTGTGCTACTTCACTTCTGCTATGTAATTTGGGGTGCTTTATCTAAGATTATTAGAAATACGTATCTTTGCATATATGGGGCTGTACAATACAGCACATTCAAACACACAGACAAGCACAGAGAAGGATTAATGGCTGATGATTTGTTTCACTCATGAGGCAGCTTAATGTCTATATTCAAAAAATCTCCTTTCTTACTGGAGATTCTGCATGTCAGCCTGCTCCAAACATGCAAAAAAGCAGAAACACTTTGCAGGAAATTGAGAGCTTCCTTCATTGTCTCTGGGTAGATACCAGCTGATGTCCCACAGCATATGCTAAACATGCCTTGTCACAGCAATAAATGTGAAAGCTGGATTACAGAATTGAGAAGAATGGGGAATTATCTTAAAAGGAGTTTATCAGTGATGGATGGCTCTGCATAGTTTGTACCCTACCTCTTGCCAACCCCCACCCCATCCCCAAAGGATAGCTATCTGTAGATTTACTCAGAAGAAGTCACTTGCTCTCAGATGGAGATAAAAGCTTCTCCCAAGTTTTCTTTAGTTTTTGAGGAAACTTTTGCACAAGTCCTCTTACTGAACTTTCTGAGAACAGGTAGAACAACCATCTAGCATAAACGGGAGAAACCGACAGCACAACTGTGGAATTCACAGTTGCGACTTGTGACAAGGAAAAAAATCTTTCGAGAGTACAGATTTATCAGTCAAATGTTGACTTCTTGGTGTTTCTAGTCCACTGAGGTCAGTTTCAGAGAAAGAAAGCCTTACTGATCAAGATCTGGGCAGTAGGATAAAAAGTAATGAATACACAGTATATAATATATGCAGGTGCTTATACAATACCTCAGGTATATCCATCATTCTCCTTAGTTTCTGATCTCTCCAGTTCCAATCCAGAATCATGTATTTTGTGGAGTCCAAGCACAGGCCATCTAAAACAGCAACATAAATTTTACTACTAAGATACTGTCCTGGGTTCAGCAGTAGCAGTCAATTTTTCTCTTTCTTAGTAGCTGGTGCAGTGCTGTGTTTTTGACTTTCAGCCTGTGAACAGTGCTGATAACACCGATGTTTTTAGTTGTTGCTTAGTAATGCTTAGTCTGATCAAGGACTTTGTGAGTCTCATGCTCTGCCAGGGAGGAGGGGAAGCTGGGAGGAAGCAGAGACAGGACACCTGACCCAAACTGACCAAAGAGGTATTCTGTATCACAGCACATCATGCCCACTATATAAACTGGGGGCAGCTACCCGGAAGGGCTAGTTCACTGCTTGGTCAGGCTGGGTATCAGTCAGTGGGTGGTGAGTGGTTGTATTCTCTTCCCTGGTTATTTCCCTTATCATTATCATTATTGGAGGCAGCAGTAGTGGTTTGCGTTATACCTTAGTTACCGAACTGTTCTTATCTCAACCTGTGGGAGTTACATTCTTTCGATTTTCCTCCCCATCCCTCTGGGAGCAGGGGGGAAGGGGGGGAATGAGAGAGAGACTGCGTGGTTCTGATTTACGGCTGGGCTTAAACAACGACAGATACTATGACATGTGCTTATCAAAATTACTTACGGCTTTTATATCTTTTGCTGTCTGTTTCTAAGGAAACTAATCTTTGAACACTTAAGTATTACATTTGCTGGTTGGAAAACTAATGCACTGATACTGCAAACTCCCTTAACTGCATAATCCCATGCCTTTTTGGAAGATAAACACAGAAGCAGAACAACTACCGTTGCCAGGCTTGTCAAGAACTAACATCCTGCCAAACAATAATTCCTCAAGCTTCCTCTTGATGAAACCTCAGGAACTGAATTTCCACAGCCGATGAGGAGCTGGTAAGTTACAAGGACCATAGCCTGAAAACTCCTGTTAATGGGAATTGACAATGCTTAGCAATTTAGAGGACTAGGTGCTATGTGAATGTGAGTCAGGTCAGTGGTGCTGCTGAACACTTCCTTTATCCTCCAAATAAATGGTGGAGAAAGAAGAAAACTGGCCCTCCAGCTGTTCTATTTTTCCCTGGTCTTCTGGTGATAGCCACAACTTTTTGTATCAGTTTTGACTATTCTCCATTCTCTAGTGAACTGGCACTCTACACTAAGCTGTCAAAAAAGGAGCAGATCTTGAGATGACACTCCTTGTGTCCCTGCCACAAGCCGCCTCCAAACAACACGGAATCATAGAATGATTTGGGCTGGCAGAGACCTTAGAAATCATTTAGCTTTAACACCCCTGCCACAGGGGGACACTTTCCACTAGACCAGTTTGCTTGAAGCCTCATCCAACTTGGCCTTCAACACTTTCCAGGGATGGGCATCAACAACCTATTTCAATGTCTTACCACACTCATGGCAATGTGCTGATGTGCTGAGCAGTAATGATTTAATGTCGATAAGAGGGCAGAGGAAGCAACAAAACTATGTTACTCCTGTGCCCTTTTGGAAAGAGCAATAGACTCCCAGTCCACAGCCAGTCTGTGGCCTTATCATCTTGTCACTTTGTTGTTTGTTTTCTTAGTGTACATAATGTCTACTGAATAACTAAAAATACTAAAAATTTAGGGAAAAGATTTACATAGCATAATTAATTTCACTACAGGCAAATCAGAAATAAAATCAAATCATCAAGAAAATCATTCACCCCTCACAAAAGTTTACACTGAGCTCAGAGTGACATATGATACAATGACTTTGCCATTATTTCCTTTTGATTACTTGCAGTGTTTGGTTTCCTGCAGCTTTGTATCTTACACCATGGTTTTGTAATCACTTTCAAGTCAGCATAAATCAGTATTTGGGCAAAAAGAGGAAGTCCCCCACCTCTGTCTGCTTGTTACATGATTTTGTGTGCACACTGGTTTTAACTGGGATCAGTTCTAATTGGGATCAGTTCACTGAGCTGCCAAACAGACTCTTGAGCTAGCACAAGAATCAGGAAGCAGGAATAAATGGGCACTGACTGGGGGGGGGGGAGTATTAATCTGCCTTTCTCACCTAGTACTGATTTATGACAGCTTAAATTGATCATAAAATCAACTACAAAAATCTTGACCCATTTTGACTGACATATTAGAAGTGGAGAAACGGAACTGTACAGTTTAATGCCCAAATTCACAGATTCATGACAACCTCAGCACTTCAAAACCAATTTAAGTCTTGCTTCTCATGAGTCCAAGTATAAGATACCTTCGGAGAAAACCCTCCTTGCTCTCCTACCTTGCTCCACTAGCGCTTTTACTCTCCCAGGAGTTCCAACCCCAATGTGGAACACAGCTTTCTCCAACATATTCAACTGTTCTTTAATCTAATTTGGAAAGAGAAAGACAAACCACAGTAAACGCATGACTGTTTAAAAATTTCTTCTCAAAGAGCTCGAAATCAATTCAAAATCTCACAGTATCTCCTTCTAGAACACCATCAAATATCAAATGCTATTCATCTTTCAAACTGTCAAACTGATATATCTGGGAGAAAGTTCAAGAAATCTAACAGCCAGCTGAGCATCACACTTCTCTAGAAGATCAGTCATTTTCAACTTCAAAAATCTGCTACTGCACCAGCTGTTTTTGGAGGTGAGAACAGTATGCTTCCTTCAGCATCTAAACAAAGTATCTGGAAATATCTGGAAAATTGGTAAAGTTGAATTAGCTCTAAACTGTAAGATGAAGACACTGGGAAAAGGGTGAATTAAAGCAAGTGACATTTGTGTGTTTGACAGCATTTATATCAAAGACCAAATGTCCATTCGTTACTTTCAGCATCTGCACAATGTGTGCCCTCCAACAGGTACGGATATTGGGTATCCAGGCATTCAATGGCAGAATGCAAATGTGGCTGCTAGTACAGTTTGCTTCTACAAACCTATGTGTGAGAACTTTCTATTTAAACAGGCAAAAGCCATTTGAATGAGTACCTCACAAGAATGTGGAACATCTTTAAAACATTGCAAATGCATAAGCGTCTACATTCTGCATAGGACTGCACCAGAGATATGGAAGATGACATTTGACTAGATTTCTCAAATGGCAATCAATGTTACTAAAGAACACTATATGAAAGGCACTATTGCTAAACACTTAAGAAAATGATACGACACTAGTTAGTCATTTAGTTGTTCTATCAGAATTCCCTCTTACCTTTATGTGCTTTGCAAACAACTTGAGAACTCTACAGTCTCCTTTAAATGCTGTCATTGACCTAGCAATGAAAATATGGAAAAAGGAAATGCAAGCATCAGGGCTAGGATTAAGACCACAGAGAGGGAAAGTAAAACTAATTGTCTTTTCTCAGTCCCCCACTGACCCCTGCTTGTACTTTAAACACTATGGTACATTCCTGTTTGCTACTTGATCAATAGTCATCAACAACTGGACAAACACGACAGAGGGTATCAGTAGGGGGCAATATTGTTAAGATAGCTTTTCAACTATTTAATAATTATGGCCTGTGCTTTCATAGCTAACTTAGTTCAAAACTGACTAATCCACAAATTCGAATTCAAAAATATCTCAGCTACTGAGATATAGGCATGAATGAACATGCATGTGTGTGCACAAAAGGAAAGATCTGTGCATGGACCAATCTATGTTTTAGAGTCTTCCTGCAGCGTGGCTGCTGGGGAAACCTAGGCTGCTACAGCCTTTACTGAAGAGATCTTTCCAATTCCAGTTAACCAAACCTCATTTGTCAGAAAACCTCACTTATTTTTCTGCCACTCCATTTTGGCACACAGTAGCAAACTCTATGTTCTGTATTAATCAAGCAGAACACAACATACTCAGTACTTAATGAATGCCATTTGAGACAGCTTTGTCTGCATGCTTCTTGCAGTGCACAAAATTTTAATTTTCTCCTGTGCAAAGCTGAAAGTTTATACACAAGTATACATATAAATCACTTAAGTCTCAGAGGGCAATATCTGCATGCAGGGGGTAAGCACTACTAACATATCTGCTGTATATACGCTTCCATCTGTGGCATGGAGTCAACTCTCCATCTTTTCACGGAACTGACAGAAAATCACAGGAAATGAGGTCAAAACACAAAAGACAATGCTGAAATTTGTGAGGTATACATTAATTCATCAAAGCCATCAAGACTCCTGGAATGAGAGGGAGGAGGATAAATAAGGGGAAAGAAGAGGACAGGGCACACTGAAAATCATCTCTGCACAGTTTTGTCAGGCTGAGAACCTGGAAGCATTCAGGGCAGATGCATGCACTGGCACTTGATGCCCTGGAATTAATGTCCTCATGGCCTTTGGTGCAAAGTCATGATTTCTAGTGGTGGGTCATGATGTTTTATGGCTTTACTCTGTTCCCAGATGTAACATGTTGTATGTTTCCCCCAAATAATTTACACTTTTTTTTTTATTAATAAAAATAGCACTTCTATGCAACTGAAGTACTGTTACTTCAACCTAAAACCAAACACCAGACTCCCACAGTTTAAAGAAGCAAGGCATATTGCATCAGTTCAAGTCAGTGAATTTGTTGGCTAGCAGAGGACAGTGGCCCAGTTTTGCCTTTATGTCTGTGGTTCCAAGACAAAACCTCTGACTGACTGCCAAACTCAACGTAATATTTGCTATCGACATACTTGATGAGTTCCAAGGAACGAAGGGCAGAACTGCAGATAACCAACATCACCACCGACTTCTTCTCCTTGTGGTTTTTACGGAGTTTTGCCCACTTAGGACAGACTGCAATGAAAAAGCCCATGTACACATACACAGAAAGTATGACACGCCACAGTTTTAAATTAAAAGAGTACATGATGAATGGTAGCCAGCAGCAAGAACACACACACTGACTCCTATGGGGTTTGGATCTCTGGCAACACTTGAACTTTTAGTCATGGCTGAGAAACTGGAAAATAAAATGCCCAAAATAAATAAAATCCAGAAATATCACATAACTGAATAAATTAGATAAGCATTAAAAATCAACAGTTCGTAAGGTGACACTGTCTGTATTTGCCACATATGGCGATTTGAATCCCAGAAAATCAATTGAAAGGAAACATTTACCAGACCAGAAGTTCTATATAAATAAACAGAAGAATACAAATTCTCCTGGTTCTTGTCAGCAGACAGCTGCAGGATTTTTACTGTAAGACAATACATACACCTATTTATGAAGCCACAATAAATTACTGCCAAATAATCCCTAGCAATACAAAATTCTGATACAAAAAAAAAGTGACAAAGTAAAAAAGAGCCAGAAAAACAAGACCTGTCGTGAAGAAAAGAAAAAAGCAAACCCTTAAAGTCATTAACACTTAAAAATATTTGGAGGTACAGATAAAGAACTCAATATTAACAATATTTTCCATACAACTTTCATCTCATCCAGACCAACATTTTAACTCACTTTCCTTCAGGTATGAAGAAAAACTGTGGGTGAGATCATTGGCTGGCAAAAAGCAGGAATCTGAAAACAAAGGAAAACATTGTTCTGTTGATGTATTTTTAACAGGAAAAGAAGCACATACTTTTGCAGGATAACCACTAGTTATATTAATGAAATCACAAGTGTGTTGAAACCCATCACCAATAAATTACCATTTGTGAATCAAAGGTTAATCTACCTATGAAGCAATAAATCTGCAGATCACCCAAACAACTCATAATGTGCAAATGCAAGAATCGGTCAATAATCTACCTGTCAATAAGTCTGTTCCTCTTTCTGGCCTTTCATATTGTGATAATCTACCTAACTATGTTGACCCTAATTGTAACACCTACACTTCATTTTAATGCCTTCCTCTTCCTTTATTTCCTGATGACTGCCTATCTTTTAAGCTGGTCACTGTGTTAACTAGTTAAGTCTTACAAGCACTTTGTGACAGACACTTAATTTTAAGCTTCACGCAGAGGAAGTGGAGAAAGACAAGGTCCTAACTTGTTCTTTGGAAGGTCCTTTCTTCAGTGTCTGTCTAGAAAATCTACGTTCTTAAGAAGGTGATTAAAATGAAGTTGTCTGAAAACTTGCCATTGTTGTCAAGGGTCTTTGCCTGATGGAACAATATGCTCCCATAGAGCATTAACCATTCTGTCTTCAGGGACACACGTATTTGTCATCATTCTGCATGAAGCACAGCACCTCAGGGTGCCTTCTATGGATGTTTGCTGACATATTTTAACTAAATTATAAGGTTTCCCCAGACGTTATTCATGCTCACGTGCATGATGCACTGTGACAATGCTGGCAGCATCAATCCATGATTTCCACTGGAACAGACAATGTGACAAACATTGGTCTGTAGTTTGTAGCTGATGCCTAGCTGAAGTCCTGCCTGTGTAGTTTCTTGAGCACAGCCACTCTACATCACTGTATCTTCCATTTAACAGGTGTTGTCTTGCTAAAACTTTTATTTTGCATTGACCCTTTTATTAAACTCAGAGACTGACATATACTAGAACTTGAGTTCCAAAGGGAATGAATGTACAACTGAAGAATTAGCAGCTGATTTACTTGTAAAATTGTGTTTAAAAGATGCACTTGATGCTGGTGGCTTCTAATAGACCATTTCTGAAGAACATGAGCTTCAATCACTGAATTTTCACCAAGAGTCTAACAACGCTTCAAATTAACAATTTTAAATGAGTTTCAGAAAGAGGGGAAAAAACACTCCAGACTGCAGCAAGAGACCCCAGACTGCAGCGAGAGACCATGTCGTCTACAAACCTGACCTTTTGCACCATGTCAATTAACAAGAACACACAACTCCAAGTAGTTGCTTGTTACTTGCTCAGTACTTTGACATGAAGGACTTGACAGGTGTAGAAGTTTGTAAACTCCACAAGCACTCTAAGCCTCCAAATCCCAGCATAAAAAGAAAGAAAAGTTATCTCCATCGAGCTCAAGAGCTAATCCATATGGAAATGAGCCATTTCACTAGCCTAAAGGGCTCTTTCAGTAAGAAAGAAACCAAAGTAATTTATTATTTGCTAAAAACCCTAAAGGTCTAAAAGTACTTAAGACAAGCTTTTAAAAGCAATCTGTATAGGACTTCTCCCAGTTTTCTCCATTCAACAAGAAAGCTGAACTTGCCCTATAGAAAAAAAAGAAGGGTCAACCTAGAATCACAGATGTTAAGGAGAATATTTACCTAGAAAGACAGGCTTAAATATTAAAACAGAGAAATCACTGCCGGGCTAGAAGGCTCCTATATTGGGCACAGATCATTAAGAGTCCAAGTATCATAGGTATATGTATGTAGGTTAGCTAGCAGGCTATTTGCTCTTCACGAGTACTACTAGCAAATAATGGACAGTGTCAAACGACAGTGCCTCCTCATCTACAGTATAAGCAGAAAAGAAGTTCATTGTTATCTTCATCTCTAATGCAACCTCCAACTGACAGAAGCTAACCCTGCTCTACCCTGCTTTGCCTTTTCTACCACAGGGTTTTAACTGTAGACAAAATACAGGAAACCAAAAAGGGTCCTCATCATGGTTAAAACTTGGCCACTTTACACTTGGACGAAAACCATCATCTCATTTCATGCCACTCCTTGAAAAACTATTACATTCAACATCTCAGTGATTCTATGACCTCAACCACATCAGAATAATGTCTCATTACTTCTTTGTTTACTCCTATTGTCAGTCCTCCTATTGTGCACCTGGATCAACTGTGATAAACATTTTCAGTCTCTCAGCATCTTGGAAGCTATTATTAGGAATCATATAATTCCTATTAGAAAACTGAGCTCCTGAAAATAATACTTTGCAATAAAAGGACACTTTTAAACAATATTCCTTTTCATTTCTGTAACTCCAAGAAACCTTATTTATTCTAAAGAAACTAACATCTCAAATAGCAAATTAATGTACTGTATAAGAATATATTTCCATAAAAAGCACAACTCAAGATCTGTCCCCACAATCCTCTTCCTTCTGCAGAAAAAGAACTCAACAGTATCATGAAAAAACAGTATTTATCTATTAAATATAGAATAAGTTACCTGACAGTTTTAATTCCTCTATTTCAATCACTGAACGGTTTTCACCAAAATGCTGGCTGAGCAGATTTTGTAGATCTGCAGGAACACCAGGTTTTGGAGCGGATTTTTCCAAAATATCAGAAATTTTCTTCTATAAAAAAAAACAAATAAAATGGGTAAGTATGCCACTTCTGTAATTTCTGCTCTTTGGCTAACACCACTGTAAATAAATGTTACTTGATAGCTTTATACAGTTATATTGGTTTAATTACAGCTTAATTAGAAAAACACCTTACAATGGGACAAGATTCCTGTTGTCGTGAGAATGCAGACTTCAGATGCAAGTTCAGATACTTTGATGAGATTGACCTTGAGCCTGAAGACAAAACTCTTGTGCACTCCATGAACTGAAAGCTGCTTTGTGAAATTTGTTATTTTTACACTTAACTCTCAGTTGGAAAATTATGGGGGTTTTCGTAATTTATTATTTTTAACACATAACAGGCATTGTGTGGTTATATGTGTCTTGGTTATATTTTGATTAAAACAAGGTAACTACCTATCTATTTTGGAAGGAAAGATGGCTGGCTGTATTCACAGAATACAAAAAAAATAGTGATGAAAATGAGTTAAAGAGCTCACAAAATCAGAAGTCAACTAGAAATTGTTCAGCACCTGCTCTGTTCTTCCAAATGTGTATCCTGTGAACCAAACTAATAATTTTTAGAGCCTCGACATGAATTCATAATGATCACGTTTTATACCTTAGGAATGTAAACAAATACCTGGGTCTGAATTTTAACTTAAGTGGAAGTGTTGCTGTATTTTTCCCTATAATTAAATGGATCATGGGAGTAGAATCACCATGGGTTCCTGTTGTCTGAATAGTCTGCCAGCATTTAAGAAAACAGTAGGTTTTAAAGGATTGCCTGGAGACAATGGCAAGAATGTGAAGCCTCTCTTGTTCTCACTGAGAAGAGATTCCTTTGGGAAAGGCCACAGTAAGGTTTCTCAGCTGTGTAAGCTAAACTGAACTTGCCTCATGAGGATGCATGGCAGTACAAGCTTAGAAGTGAAAAGGAGCAGGAGAGCGTGGCTCAGATGGAGCAAAAGGGCACAAATCTGGGAGGCAACGTGAGATTTCATGGACAAATGAGGTGGGAATAGAAGCATTTTTGGCAGCTTTGAAGGGATTGTGGGTACCTTCAGGGCAAATTCAGCAGGTTAAGGTCCAGGGCAGCAAAGATTAATGGAAATTTTGATGAGATCTATAGCAGGAATTTCAACACAGGGGACAGATCTTCCATCCCTCTTTCCCTCACTCCACCCCAGCACCCGCTCCCTCTTTCTCTTCCATATCTGAGCACTCTGTCTCTCTGTCTTGCCCAATACACCTGTAATGGCAGCATAAGTGGCAGAAAGCTGAAGAGGGAAGAGCCATATGGGGGTTGTTAAAGACACTCCACACCACAGCAAAGGCTGCCTCTCCCATCTGTCTGCCTCTTCGGCTACTGCCCATTTTACCTCCACTTAAAGTCAACTGTGTGCTTGCAAAGCCCCAAATGAATCTTTGACCATGGGATACACGAAAATGAAGTCCTTATGCCATCCCCTCAGCCCACCTTTGGCCTGGTACAAAGTCCTCTGCAGTCCCTGGAACACTTTCCACTGGACATCTGGCTGTTTGGCAGGTTTTTGCAGTGCCGGAACCCATAGCATCCCTTCCTTCCCAAGATTCACTCTCATTTGTCACCACTGTATTTTTCTGCCATGCAATAACTGTCTTCCCAAAGAATGACCAGAAGCCATCTGCAGCATACACAGCATTTGCATGAGGCCCACTGAACCTCTTTGCTGTTCCTATAAACCGCTGCTCTTCTCCAGCCCCAGCCCCAATACCTGCCTTTTAAGCGACCCACGTTTGGGAATCTCTGATTTAGCAGACAGCAAAACAGAACTATCAGGCTGATTTTACTTGGAAATTCAGCATAAGGTGCTATTCCACACAACCATTATGTCATTTGTTGGGTCCCTTGGTTCCTTCAGGAAAATTATAGCACCCTGGAGGGAAGAAGCCTGATACTAATGAGGAATTCCCTAAGAGCAAGAGCAAGGACACCTGAGCAAACTCTGTTCCTTCAAGGAGGATGGGGAAACTAGGAAATGTTTCTCATGCAGGATGTTTTATTCTTTTTCTTGCAATTCGTTCCAGATGCTTAAAAGCAAAGTGTTGGTTTGGGGGTTTTTTCCCTCTTTTCCTTACTTTGAGAGAATACTTAGCACATACACCCACTGCCCAGTTCCCAAACACTCTCTAGGACATTCGTACCTTCTTTCCCTTCTTTGCCTTTACAGGAGTCTCTTGTTTTTCTTCTGGCTGACCTAGAAAACACTCTGTAGGCTGCAAAGCACATATTAAAAAAAACAAAAAGGAAAGATTCAACATCAGTTATCTGATCACTGGGGGGGGGGGGGGGCGAGAGAGAAATTCACCAAAGGGAGCTAAGAGGGGGTACAGGAAGTAAAATGCTAGTTAGAGAAATAAAAACAAAACCAAGCTTTCCCACCTACAGAAGGGATCACATTCTTATAGTTACATGTATATGGAGTAACTTTGGAATTCAGATCTATGTTGTAACTACGAGTAGAATAAAAGAACAGGAAGTTGAAACATGTAAACATGTAAGCTGTAGCCACAATTCCATAAAATGGTGAAAAGCAGGTTTTGATACATCTAAAAAAAAAATCAAGAGGAAAACATGAACAAAAGTTTTCACAAACTTTGTATTTTTAACCTCTATTATTGTGTGTGATTGTTTGTCTAAACTTTGCCAATAGGGCTCTACAATAACTGGGTCTAAGGTGATCATCCAGACAGTGAAAGATGCCAGGAAACTGGGCAAGAATAATTGGAAACAATCATACCCTGGATTTCCTTTTACATTTGTAATACAAAATTTAGGAAAACATGTTTTGAGTTTGTTCTACCCCATTCTTGCTTTGTCTCCCCATAGCAGGCAGGGTCAAACACACACAAGCAAAATACATGGTGCATTTCAGAATAATCTTCATCCAACATGTGTTGCTACCATTAACCCTCTTTTGTGCCTGAGTGAGCAGGCTGACTTGCTCCATTTGTACCAGAGTCCCTGTTCACATAAGCTAGGTTTAGGATTTGTCCTTAGATACCTAAAATGGTCCAAAACAGAGGAAGTGAGGCACAGGCTTTCCTTGTTTTGAGCATAGTGATTCCTTTTTCTTTTGTCTTCTTAGGGACTTTCGCTTCATGGAAATGCAAACTAATCTACATAGACGGGTTTTAGAGCTTAATATGTGACTTGATGAAGAGCAATGGGAAAACAGGCTAAGCTGCAGGAAAAAGCTCCTTAATACTAGGATGCATTTGGATGGAAAAATCTGCTCCTGTGAGAAACTGTGGAGAAGTCTCATCACATGTAGCACTAAAAGCTCAGGAACAGCAAATCCAGCACTGCTCCCTGGGGAAAGCCTGGAAGAAAACTATCAGCAGAAATGGGAGCCCAGCTTAAAGCCAGAGAAGCTGCTCCTTTGTTCCCTTGTGAAGGCAGCTTCAACATGACAAAAGACAAGTTAACAGAAGTTCAGACTATATGAGCCTTTCTGAGTCCTCCTTGCACTTCCCTCCCCTTAACAGGAGGACATTTCACGACAACTAGTACTATATGACCCTACCCAGCACTTTGTGGCTTTCCAAGCCCACTCTCACATCCTTATCAGAAACATTTTGTGGAGTTTAATTGTTCACATTATGCCTACATTTCCCTTTTACTCTCCACTCCCCTGGCTAATTTAGCTATAAAAAACAGGATACTATCATGCTTAACACAAATGACCTATTGCTTGCTTCTGCTTTCTGTGCAATGATGCAACCACAGCCATTGCCTGACCAATTTGGTGGTCTTTTATGATGGGGCTACAGAACATATGGACAGGGGTAGAGCAGTTGATGTCATCTTACCTGGACTTGTGCAAAGTGTTTGACACTGTCCCACACGACATCCTTGTGTCTAAATTGGAGAGACATCAATTTGATGAATGGACCACTCGGTGGATAAAGAACTGGCTGGATGGCCACACACAAAGAGTTGCGGTCAACGGCTCAATGTCCAGCTGGAGACCAGTAACGAGTGGTGTCCCTCAGGGATCGGTGTTGGGACCGATCATGTTTAACATCTTCGTTGCTATCATGGACAGTGGGATTGAGTGCGCCCTCAGCAACTTTGCCGATGACACCAAGCTGTGTGGTTTGGTTGATACGCTGGAGGGAAGGAATGCCATCCAGAGGGACCTTGACACACTTGTGAGGTGGGCTGATGCCAACCTGATGAAGTTTAACCATGCCAAGTGCAAGGTCCTACACCTGGGTCAGGGCAATCCCAGGCACAGCTACAGGTTGGGCAGAGAAGAGATTCAGAGCAGCCCTGAGGAGAAGGACTTGGGGGTGCTGGTAGATGAGAAAATGAACATGAGCTGGCAGTGTGCACCTGCAGCCCAGAAAGCCAACCGTATCCTGGGCTGCATCAAAAGGAGTGTGACCAGCAGGTGGAAGGAGGTGATCCTGCCCCTTTATTCTGCTCTCGTGAGACCTCACCTGGAGTATTGTGAGCAGTTCTGGTGTCCTCAACATAAAAAGGACATGCAACTGTTGGAACAAGTCCTGAGGAGGGCCACGAGAATGATCAGGGGACTGGAGCACCTCCCATATGAAGACAGGCTGAGAAAGTTGGGGCTGTTCAGCCTGGAGAAGAGAAGGCTGCGTGGAGTCCTCAGAGCAGCCTTCCAGTATCTGAAGGGGGCCTACAGGGATGCTGGGGAAGGACTCTTCATTAGGGACTGTAGTGGTAGGACAAGGGGTAATGGGTTAAAACTTAAACAGGGGAAGTTCAGATTGGATATAAGGAAGAAGTTCTTTACTGTGGTAATGAGGCACTGGAATAGGTTGCCCAAGGAGGTTGTGAATGCTCCATCCCTGGCAATGTTCAAGGCCAGGTTGGACAAGGCCTTGGGCGATATGGTTTAGAGCAAGGTGTCCCTGCCCATGGCAGGGGGGTTGGAACTTGATGATCTTAAGGTCCTTTCCAACCCTAACTATTCTATGATTCTATGATTGCACTTGTAAAGGCAGCAAAACTCTACAGACGTGGCCATGAAACTGGTTGAGATTTGAAATGGTACTTGGGAATGACCAGAGACAATTTGGTTGAGGACTGCCTACAGCCAGCAAAGCACTCTGTAACTAGAGCTGGATCAATACCTACCCATGAGAAGTGATAGGGACCATACCTTGCCTCAACAAGATACATGTGTTCGTATGATTTTCTCAGGTATAAACAGATATTATCTTAACCAGAAATCAAGGGAACTACTGGAAGTAGAATCTCACTTCAAATAATAGTTGTTGCAAGGTTAAAATAAGCTTTTTGGGTTTATTTTTGCTTGCTTTCTTTTTTAATAATATCTCTCCTGACTCTGATTCAAGTGCTTTTAAAACACCACCATATATTTTTTCATTCCTATCCCTAAAATGAACACTCCCACACATTGAGACTGAAACAGAGGTAGTCTCTGCTATCAATTCCTGCTCTACCCATACACATCCCAGCTGTCCATAGATAATCAAAGACCACTTGCCAGATGTTTTAATCATAAATTCCACATTCAATATACTTTATTTGGAGAACAAGCCTTTGGATTGATTTAGTCAAGGGATATTAACAAGCAATCAAAGTGGCAGAAAGGGGACAACCTGAATCTCTTTCCTCCAGTAAAGGATGACGTTTCCCTATCCTAGAAAGTGCTACTGCTCTTTCGGCATATTGAAAAATGTTATGCATTCATTTCAGGCCCATTTCTCCTTCCATATATATAGTGAATTATTTTACATAAATATGCAGAACACTCCCAACAGGTAGCTGCATGAGAAAAGAATAAAACTGTGGCACAGGGCTGAAAAACATCCTCCAATAGAAACCAAATTTCCTCACTGATACCCCCTCATTCAGTTACTTAATAGTATCACCAAACACCACAGCTTCTTTTTTGAAGGCAGTATGCAAGCAGTTATTTCAACAGCAAAAGAAATATAAAGCAGTCACAGAAGTACAAAGCAGGCTTGTAGCCAAAGTCTTGCTTCTTCAGAGATGCATGTTAAGACTCAAAATTATCTCCTTTACAACAGCATATATATATTTAGGCATAGTATACTATTAGCCCAGAAATAATAAGTCCACTCTATTATGACATTAAAAATTATGCCATAAAAAAAAGAGAAACTTCATGGTGGTGAATGGCTGTAAGCTTACTTACCTTTGATGATCTGCAGTCTAAAATACTTGGGCATCTGAACTTCTGACCCTTATCCAAATGTTAGTTGCTTACCTACTCACGCAATAGCTCTTTAAATACCACCCTTAAGAAAACAACGTTTGCATGTTTTTCTTATGCAAGGCACAGAGCAGAAAATCAACTGGTTTTTGACATGGCTCCCCTGTGCTCTGTTTTTATGCTATTTTTACATGGAAGTTCTTAAAATGAAGAAAACAGGAAACTTGTGCTGAGACCAGTGATTTATGACCTAAAATGTCATAAATCCTTTGTTTGTTAATCACAGGCAGAACATAAAATATTTTCTGCATTATATTTCTAACAATTTTTTTTCTTTATGTGTTGCCAAGTTACTGCAAATTCATAGAGTGAAAACATTCTTGCCCGAGTGTGGAAGCTTACATTCTAGGTCAGCCACATACTCTGACTTTCAGTTTTTGACAAAGTAAACACATCAAATACTCCATTCAGTTTGGAGACAAATTATTCATTTCGTTGTAAGCCTGAGGACAGCCTGCAAACTAAAAATATAAATGTTTGCAGTTCTATTTGGTTGTCTCCTGACTGGCTTTAAGGTGCCAAGTCCACTGCAGAACAGCTTCCAGCCTGTGAATAAGGCAGAGATGAATAAAACAGGTTATGTTATATGCACAAAAAATAGAAAACTACTAGCTTTCTGTAAACACATCTGATTTTGCAATTGTTTTGCAAACATGACATGTCCGTGACTTTAAGCTCCCATGAAACTCCTGGAGTTTTGTGGCCAGACATCAAAATACCCAATTCCAAAATGCAAACTAGTATTTTTTATATGACAGGAAGAGCTGTGGCTTGTGTTCTGCTATAGCTTAGCAGTCCCAGTCCACCCTGCCAGGATAACTTGTAATGGCTATCTTACATTCTCATAGAAAGGAAAGAACAAAGCAACTTCTCCAAACAAATTGTCTTAACTTAGTTCCAAATGCTGAAGTGAAAATAATGGTGATAAAAAGTGGCTCCATAAGCATCCTCCTTGAGTTGAAGTCCTCAGTATAAGACCCCTGGTAGATCATGTACAAAGGCAATACAGCTTTCTCCTGTATTGCTCTGTTCTCTCTTTCCTAATCAAAACATGGAACCAGTTCAGATATTTATCATCTCATTTCACCTCTGGTTTCCTTGGAAGGACACCCCAAAGCATAGTAATTGATACTGTGTTATTTAACACTTCTCTGTTACAACACACACCCCCCCCCCCCATCTCTGAAAATGGTTTTCACTTGGGCAACTGCATTTACACTGTGAATTTACTATTGATGTAGAGGTCAAAATTAATATCCGAAACCTCAAGGAGAGATAGTTTCCAATGTAATTTTAGCTGTTTAACAGCCATTTCCTTGATTCTGCTGTACGGTATCAGGAAGAGGAAATTTACCTTCAAACAAGAGACTCTTAAAATCATCTGACCTCTAAATTCCTCTTCACTTAGACCTTGCACTGGGGAGATTATCAGGTAGAGATGCTGAACAGCATATAAATACAGTTTTCAAGACCTTGTGTGTGCGAGGAAACAGGAAAGATAGGGGAGGACACTTGGTAGGCACCATCCAGGCTTTCATCACTACGAAGTCATGTTGTAACAGACAGGCTTGGCACAAAACAAGAGTGAATTTATTGAAATGTACTGGACTGTGATCAGTTCCATTTAAGGCAAAATAATTTAATAAAACAATCTTATTACTTAAGAGATGAGACAAAGCGTGAAATAAACCCTCCCATTACTGAAAAACTTGGGGACTATGCTTCCTTATGCAGTATCATCTCTGTGCTCTACACGATTGCTACATTTACAAACCTGCTTTCTTTTCTTTGTCACAGCAGGTTTGAAATCTGAATCTTTATGAGTTGCTGTCCTGTTGTCACTTGCTTTCTCAACAGCTTCATCTTCTGAAGGATCTAAGGAGAAAAAAGAGGTTTTGTTACTGTTTTTCAAATACATCTCCTATCTTTGCATTCAAAAATAGCGACTATGGTCCATAGGATCACTGTCAAAATACATCCTTCTTTCTAAGTTTTCTGACACTTCTTTCAGAATAAGTAATCTCCTCCTACTAAAACAAGTCATACAGATGAAGGAAGAAAACAACCAAACACACACAAAAATGCACACAACCTGCACCCCCAGCCTCCATCTAAAAGCTCCAAATGCCTTATTGCCACCAATTACCTAGAAGAGGAAAAATTAAAAGATTGGTATAATGTCCTGTTGTATAAAAATATATGCAGCCATTTTCTGCATGTACATTTTGTCTCTTGTACTTCAGTAATTATTAGGCAAAAGCACTATACCCAAAGTTTTAGCAGAATGAACACAAGACTGAAAAAGGCTTATGTTCTGAGAAAAAACTATTTAAATTAAGGTGTTTCTACTCATTTTATTCTTCATCTCTTTTATCTATAAAGAGACTTTGGGGGAAAAACATATCCACAGCAACATTTCCCTTTTGCTATATTAGCGCTTAACATCTGCTGAAACACAAAGTTTCCACTGGGGACTGAATTACTTCCCTGATCATTGCCAGAAATATTAAGATCCATCAAACTGAATTATTCGATTTCTGTATCTAGAGTATTTCCGCCCAACTGGTACTTAGTCACTGTTGGAATCTCCTGCATTCTGAAGTTCTAAATTCACTTCAGCTTCAAGATTATTTCTTTTTAATGAAGAGGAACAGTACGATTTCTTAAGTATCACCTGAAGTACACATGATGTTAACTACATCTACGCATTCACTACCCGTGAGCAGAGTAAACTGATGGCCAGAGAACATATGAGAGAGAGAAAATAAATTATAGTATTAGTATTAGTATTTACTAATTCTATGTTGAAATAGGTACCTAACAATAAAAGGTAACTGAAAGGATATGTGAAAGATATGTCAAAGAATTTAAGTGAAAGGTGAAGTAAAAGAATATGAAGGAAGAAAAAAGAGATCTTTCTTAATCCATAGATACAACGTTATATATTATATGGCAATAAGGCAGCAGCTTTGAAAATCCTAATGCAATACAACAGGTAACAAAATGGGTACATACTTATGCCTGTAAAGAGAGATACCATCTTGTAACTCCTTTTCCCCCTTTGAAAGGCTTGTGTAACAGTCAGCATCCTAAAGTTGGGTTGTGACTTCAAAAAAGCTTGGGAAGTAGAAAGCTAGTGAAGAAAATCAGTCAGTGTTTTAACAATTTGGATATCATCCGTCATTAAATCTTACTTGATACAGGTTAGATTCTTGGCAAACTACAAGAGCTTTAGGAACAAAGCAGCAACTGAGAAGAGAATTTCTGTCCAGTACAACTAAGAGACGCCTAAGTGAAGGGGTTAGGTAAGCAGGTTAATGAACTTAGTTCAGACCAAAACAAACACCATGGAAGAAATGGCAGCACTCATTTGCATCTCAACACAGGATTAAGGCATATTCTGAAATCTTAAGTGAGCATCCACAAAGAAAAGCCTCTGCTTTCCAGATCTAGAGCAACTGTACAAACACGCGCCAAATAGACATTACAGCTCTGATGGTCTACTCGCCTATATCTCTTAGTGGGCACAGCCATAAAATCAGAAGCTGAATAGAGTATAGCCACATGAGTCCTAGATCCCATGTGGGCAAGTAGCTGGTGGCAGGGAAGGAGCAGGGATGTCACTACTGGTAACCTTTTACCACAGGCTATAACATTACCACATAACTAACATTAAGCTGCTGCTGTAATTCAGCCTCAGAGGATACTAGGTGGGTAGCCATTCTGGGATCTCTTCTCAAAGAGCATGAGTAAGGGAGGTGAAAAGTCTGTATCTCAGGCTTACTTGCACACTATCAAATATGTGGCACTGATCTCCATGAGTTGCTCTCATGAGCTCATTTCCCTCTCTTCCGAGGGACAAATTGCGACTAATTGACTTTTCTTGCAAGCTGCCATTTGGATCATGAGCAAGAAGAATGAACTGCCCCCAATACAACTGCTACTGTCCTAAGAGTGTTCATGAGACAGTGGATGAAGGTGAGAAGTTTTCTTGGAAAGTTTACTGGCCACGAGAAGTAAAAAAGGGAGAGTATTCAAAAAATGTTTTTACTTTTATCACCATCAACAGGAATATGGGTTTACCTTATAAATTTATTATTAACGCACAAAAAGGTGTACCTAGCCCTGTATAGCCTTACACATAGCAGCAGGTAAACAGGGGAAGAGAGAATGCTGAAGGTTAACAAATTTATTCCTTACAGCACAGCTCAAATATCTGTGCCAGTATACTGGGCTCTTCCTTTCTGTTCTGAGAATGTTCAAGAGCTCCTGCATCATACCCTTGCCCCTGCACAGCAACAGCTCCTTCCACAGCCTGTTCCTCTCAGAAGTCACTGACTACTTATTCCGACCACTTTGGAATCTGAGATATGTTACTGTATTAGAAGAAGCTAAAAAGTTACATCATTCAGCATACTGCTCAAAGTTTAAAAGATGTTAGTGTTACCACTACGCGTTACCATAGGCTTGTTTCCCATCGTATCACGCTTCCTCTGAGAAATTTCTTGTGCCGCATTTTGGCAGCGCAGCTCCTGTTTGTCAACCCATCACTGACTTTTGCGTCTCTGCCCTAATTCCAGAGATACTGGAGGAGTGACCAGCTTTTTCACACACCAACCCCACAGCCTCAGGGTCCTCGATGCACTGCATGCAACCAGGCTATGGAGTGATGATATACATGAAGTACATCCAAGTGTCTTTCATGGACACCTCCTTGTCGTGGGGAAAGACCTTGCGTGCCCTTGTGAGGCTGGGAGTCCATCTTTCTCACTGTTCTAGAGCCCCAAATCCCCAATTCCACAGTATATCTGTGCATGTCCCACTGAACTGAATTGCTGAGCCAGCTCTTTCCAACGTTTCACACTGGAAATAAATGAGAATTGCATAAAATAGATTCAGGAGAACCTGCAACTGATCTTTAAACATTTCTTCTTAAATCCCATTTGGTGTGCTCTGAAAGGCAAACAGGAGTCGCCTGAGTTTTAAATAACATCTTCTCTTTCTCATAACTAAAAGACACACTGCTAGCAATAGCAATCTGAAACTGGACAAATGGTTTCCATGATCCGAAACAGCCTGACAAACAATGTACCACCTGTTCACTGCCCATCTGAGTTTTGGACTGTACTTTGTGATGCAACTTCCTCTGCTTTCAGCAAGAAGAGAGAGAAGAGGGAACCAATGTCCAGCCCCAGACCCAAACAACATCTGTAAAACCAGTTCAAATTTGAACAACTTTTTCCAGTACCTGAGTATCTTTTTTTTTTGTACACAGAAGAACTTTTTATCTGTGTTCATCCCAGTTGAGACAGTAGCTAGCTTTGAGCTGTGAATGTTTGTGACACCATGTCAGTTCCCATGATGACAGGAAATCTTTGTTGTGGGCATCAAAGTCTGACAGGCCAGATCCTGCCAACCATGTGCATGTTAAATAGTGTATCTTCCTCTGCAAATAGTTCCCTTAATGTCAGCAGGGTTAGTCACAAAATAAATCGTAACTTGATGTGAATAAATGTAGATCCCAAACACATTTGTATCAGAGCAGCACTGCTTGCCCTGCTTTGAGGTGTCAAGAAGCCCAGATGACTCCTCTCTGCCACAACTAGAGAGAGCATAAATCCTTCCTTAATAATAAGTTGGCACAAATGCAGAACCTAATTGATTAATACAACATTGACTTTCATCTCCCTTGTGGTGCAAGTGAGCAGGCAGGCAGGCACTGATGGAATATGCTGCTGAAGGGGTGATGCTGTTCAGCACAGCAATCCTTTGCATCTGCTTTCCTGTTACACGGACCTTATGCAACCACAAGGTCATCAAAGACATCTGAATGGTCACATACTGCTCTCAATACAGAAACATAAACGTGAATTCCACAGCTCTTCACGCTTTCACCTTTGGTATTACATCAGTGGCATGGCACATACTAAGTGACTTCCCAGTCATTAAGTATTTCTATTTGATTTTATTTTGAATCATACTGATATGGAAAAAGCTATTTCTGCTTAACACACATGCATACATATATATATATGAATAAGATTCTCATTTATTATACTGATCACTATTTAAAATAATTCAGTGCAATGGATTCTAACTCAAATTTAATATTGGTATACAAACATGCGTCTAAGTACATCAATATGCATACTAAATACACATACACTCACCTTTATTAACACAAACATATCTGCATGTTCATACACATGCACAAAAATAAGCATACAAATATTTAGATAATTTAACTGGTTCCCTTCAAACATCTACTTTATTAGTATATTCACAAAGAATGTGCATTTGCTTGGTTATTTATACTGCTGTTTTTAAAGACAGACAGCACCTTAAGGATACAGGAGGTAATTAATAAGAAAACACAGAATAGAAGAATATTCCTTTGTGTACATACCCAAAAATAACTGAGGGAGTAATTTCCACTTTTTGTTATCTGGAAGCTAAGTGAGCTCAGACATCTATTTGGTATCTAACACCATGTCGTGGTTTAAATCCACCCAGACAGCTTTCACTCACTCCCCCCCCACACACACTTCTTGCCCTCCCCCTACTCTCGGAGGGACGGAGAGGAGAATCAGAAAGAATGCAACTCCCACGGGTTGAGATAAGAACAGTTTAGTAACTAAGGTATAACACAAATCACTACTGCTACCACCAGTAATAGTAATGATAAAGGAAATAACAAGGGAAGAGCATAAAACACCCCATCACCAGGCGACCGATAACTTGCCCCCCCAGTCCGACCAAGCACCGACCCATACCTCCTCCAACCCTGCAGTCCACCCAGTCCTTCCGGCTAACTCCCAGTTACCTCCTGGGCATGACGTGCTGTGGTATGGAATACCTCTTTGGTCAGTTTGGGT